TGAACTACTAAATATTACACTAAATATATACTAAGTATTTGAGCACAGTCATAAAGGCTGATCACATGTTCCCAGAGCCCATTGTGGCATCATCAGTTGCTCGTTTCATTTGATTGTCACTTCTAAAAAACACGAGACATTTCGTAACTTAAACCATCTGTGTTTAACAAAGATTGGAGTTTTTGATGGCATTCCAGTGAAAAATCACTATAACAGTGTTTTTGGGGGGAGTTTGTTCAAACATAAAACAGGAAAATATAGATTTCTGATAAGTAAGATAAGAAATACAGTCAACACCGCTGAAGACCAGGAAAAACCCAGTAGACCTGTTTCATGGCTGCCATTCAGACACAAAGTATGGAGCTTTTCAGAACTGACTAATAATATTAATCAAGAGTTCTTCTCAGATTAAGTACAGAGCCTTAATTAATGTGATTACCAACACCTGTGTTTACCTACATATTTAAATCAGTGAGAAATAAGTCTGTTGAATTATACACATTTATTTAACTTGACAGATTACTCAGGATCCAGAGTAAGGCTAGAATACACTGTATGGACAAATTTACTGGACCACAGGAGCTGCTCGGCCATTTAAACCCATTACATGAAGCTCCCAGCGTAGAGTTTTTGTGCTGATGTTAATGCCAGAGGTGGTTTGGAGCTCTGCAGTTATTGAGTCAGCAGAGTGTTGGAAATTTTAGTGCACCATGTATCCGTGTGTCTCTCAGCACTCTGTGACCTCGCTCTGTAACCTTATGTGCACTGCATCTTTGTAGCCGAGTTGCAGCATGTAGGAGGGAAGAAATCTCGCAAATTATTACCAACACATTCAACGAGCTCTTTAGAACAACCCATGCTTTCATAAATGTTTGTTAAGGCAGATTGCATGGCTAAGTGCTTGATTTATGCACCTGTAACTATGAAAACACCCGAAATGAAAGATCAAGTCAAAGTCAACTTTATTGTCAGTTGTGCAATATGTGCGGGACATCCATGGGATGGAAATGCAGCTTCACTCTGATCCACACTGCACAAGCAGAGTGCATCTAAAACAAAAACAACTAAATATGAGTTTAAATATTGCACTACTACATATTAAAGCCTAGATACAAGAGGTATGGCCCAATCCCTTTGCCCATATTTGTTATCATGTAAAAATTGCACATGTATATTTATGGTTATTTGGTTTATAGATCAGCTGAACTGAATTGAATAATTTAACTTATAAAAAAGTGATGATTGTGTTTCTGGTTTTTTTTTTTTAGTTCCTGTGTTTAAAGAATATCCGGACATTCCTGGGAGTTTGTCAAGACAAGTTTCATCTGAAGAAGAACGAACTATTTGAAGCCTTTGATCTGTTTGATGTTCGGGACTTTGGAAAGGTATCACCACGCAAAAATCTATCTTTCGGACATATTCCCTGAGTTATTTTTAATTACTGATTAACTTTAAACAAAGTTGGGTTTGAATCTGCCCTGAACCATCCAGCACGTGTCTTCTCTCTCCTCACCCTTCCTTTCTTCTCTCCACTGCGCTATCACAATGAAGGCTAAAAGCTCCAAAGAAAGAACTTTACACTAAATGTAGTAAACAGGAAAAACTACATTCATGTTGTGACCACATTTTACGTTTGCTTTTGAAACAAATTCTCCAGGCACTCTTGCACTTTGGAGAACCGCACTACAGTTCTCCTGTAGATTTAGTTTGCCTCAGTGTCCCATCGTGCTGTCTCAGGCTGACTCTGTTTGACTGAGTTTGAGATCAGGTCCAGGCCATCATTTGTGGCACTCATTTATTTGCTGTATCTTGCACGGATGAAATCTCTTCCTGATGGTTACACAATGAATAAAAATTTAAACATCTGAAGAACCCAAAATTGTACCTGAAAGGGGAACTCATTATGCACTCGTAGCTCAGTCATTACGGCAGACGTCTGAAGTGAAGCATGAAGTCCTAACGCCTTACTGCAGCTTGCAGACACCCACAAAGCCCTAACAGGAAGTAGCTTGGTGATTTTCTAATGTGAAGTGTCAGAGCAAAGGCATGAATGCAGTACTCCACAGTTCTCTTTCACTTTCTATGCAGTGCAGCGATTTAAAGCAACCAAGAGTGGATTTGAAATGAGCACTTTTTTTTGTCTGTGCAAGCTAAGATGAAGCCATGTCCTCAAAATGAGTCATCAGGACATTTTATTTTTGGAGGGGGAGGGGTCATTTTATCAACTTTACAGTGTGTTACTGTCACTAAGCTTCTCGTTCCACTTTGCAGCTTCCACTCAGTCGCCCATAACAATTTAATGTAGAAAACATGGGTGTGGTAGAGCCTGTACACAAGTAAATAAAGTCCATCGGCACAAAACCTGCTCCGAGAGATATCTTATTATAATCTATTGCTTTATTAAACTGCTAACGCTTACCCGTCAGTGTGTGAGCTCTACTTTGCTGTTATAGCAGAGCTTACATCACAAATATAGCTTAGTTCAGTGGTTTCTAGCCATCATCTCAAGATTTAACATAGACATTTCTCTTAAGTGGAACTTCTGATAACCTATGGTGGATATAAGGATGAAAGAAGGGGTTGATGCAAACAGAAAGCAAGCAGACGATGGGCTTAGCTAAGCATAAAACCTTTTATTATGGGAAACATCTGTTCTCACACAGAGCTGTGTGCATCTTTTTTAACCACCACTTCATCAGAAAGCTAATTAGTGTTTTCTATTGAATTCTCTGCTAATAAGATAGCAGTTTGAATTAGTTCACTGATTTTCTTTCCACAGGACTTCTCAGAACCACAGACTTTCACTTCTTGTTGCATCTTTACTCTTTTTTGCTGTCTTGAATGAAAGCAGAAATTAGACCGAAAAATGCTGACTGAGAAATGTATTCCTTAGTCCTTTTTTTAACCTAACCAGAAGTGTTGGAAGACAAGTTTCAGCTGAAACAAGTCAAGTGGCATCACGCAGAAAGAAAACAATGCTGAAAAGTGAAAAAGCGTGTCAAAGAAGCTCAAAATGTGTGACAAAAACAAACTGCCCCTTACTTACTTGGTTAGTAAGTTATAAACCAACATTTAAACTCACTAATACATGCTTTCCTTTAAACAAAGAGCGTTCACTTTCATTTTAACCACTGTTTTTGTATGTTTCTGATCACATTTCACATGAAATTTCAACACCCACCGTGATTACGCTCTTTTTAATTGAACTGTCAAACAGAGCGAGAGTGAAACTAGGTAATTATTTAGTGTTCACATTTAAAGTGTTAAACAGTTTTACAGTTTCTCTGCCAGTGTGTGTTCCCACACTCTGTACAAGATTGTTAATTCGTACTATACTTCTTTGTGTGTTTCTGTCTGTGTAAGGTCATAGATACGTTGTCCACCCTGTCTCATTCGTCCATTGCTGTCCAAAGAGGATTTCAGTAAGTACATTCCTGCCTGTAATTAAAATTGAAGTTTAAAGGGACCACTTGTGCTTATTGCTAAGTCCATGCTTGTATTCTTAGACTATCACCTTCGATCCTTTGAAGGCGACTTTCTTACGATAAGCCCTCATATCCTAATCATATTCAGGATATCTGATCCAGTGTTGTGCAATACTGGAAATTTTGGTGTTGATCTCATGCCAAATAAATACAGTACTGCCAATACCAGTAGCAATACCCAAAACTTATAAAGGCAGCTCATGTATGGGAGAGCAGTGTGTCATGAATTTTTAGATGAATCATCATCAGTTCGCAAATTCTGAACACATTTTAATGACCACCAAATCACCGTAAGTTTTACTTTCCACAATAATGGGTTAACACAACAAAACACAACTTTCAGCTTTTGGGGTATTTAAATGTGCCAGGCTCCAAAGCACTTTGGGTCATCTTCTGTTGTGTAAATGGGCTATAAGCTATAAATAAAATAAGATGTGACAGTCAACACAAAAAGTTTCAGACATTTTTCATGGTGCATGTCCGAGGAATATTCTCTCATTTCCCAAAAAAGAATTAATTTAAAACAGTCGATTCCATACTGGACTTAGAATCGATACATTGTTTCTATGCTCCATCATGCTACTATCGATTTGATACCAATACTATTGTTGGTGCCGATATTTGGATCGGCCTACCTTTAATGCGATCTCACTGAGGTCATCCAGAGCCAAACGTAGCAACAAATGGCTTTATAGGTCCCCTTTAAATGCAATTGTAAAAAGCTATATCTGCATTTTTTAATTTGTATTATTTTATTAATTATCTGATGTGTGTGTTATCTGTTAGTGTGAAGCATTTATTATTTGTCTGTTTGCTTCCTTGAAATATTTGGGGCTTATAGAAATCACACAGACGATTTCGTTGCTGGCAGAAAGAAAACAGATGCGTTGGCAGAGAAGGGAGAAGTAACTTATTTAAGATGGTCAACCTTTTTTTTTATAATAAATGTCATAATCATAAATGTTTTCTGTAGAAATGTGGAAATTATGGAGTTTTAAATAACTAGTCTCAAATGGTTTATTGCACAACATGAAATTATACCCTTATTCTACCACGTGGATGTGAAAGTGCTTACTTGGGATTACTTTTTTGTTGGTCTAAACCCTAAAAGCGAGAATATAATATTTATACAAGTGAAATTGGTTATATGGACCAGAGGCTTGTGGCTGTTTTTTTTTTTCTTAGGCTGAAAGTTGGTGTAGCAGATAACAGCACTTCCTCAGTGCCAGATAAGACTGTTGTTTCTTAACTTGACAGAACGTTCCTGAAAGTTTCAAGTTTTGTAACTCATTAATTTACTGTAAGTGGCATTTAATCTTTATATTTTGAGCATAACAGGTTTTTGTTAGATTTCTGGGCACTTAAAATTTTAAATCCTTTCCATTACCGTTAAATACGCCGGCTCATCAGGAAGTCAGCACCACAGTAATAGTGTTTTGTCCTTCAGCCTGGAACCTAGATTCATGCTTAATTACTCACATTATATTAACCTTTATTCAGTTGTAATTTTCACTCTCTTTTTTGCTGCTTTAACACACTCACCTTCCCTTCAAACAGGCCTTTTCCTTTAGAGGGATGCACTCTTGATGAGGAGATCTACAGTGGCCTGTCTGACCAGATAGAGTAAGCCTTTTTCTCTATAATGTCTAAATGGAGGGAGAGAGATTGTTTTAAATAGCTGACAATTTTTCTCTCTTTCTTTTTGTTGTGTGGCTGTATGATTTGAGGATTTTCATGTAAAACTTTAACATCTTCACAAGGAAATGCTTTCATAATGCCACATTTTGACCTGTAGAAAAGTTCAAAATACTCAAACAGAAAACTACCAGCAAAAATTCTGCATTATTTTACTTTTAAGAATTAAATTTAAGAGTCTTGTCAGGACATTTTGAATCTTAATTGAATCAAACTGGGAGATGTGATGGTTTATTGCAAGTGGAGAAATGTTATATTCCACCAGCTATACAGGTGGTGTACAGGTGGTGACGCTCCGTATACTGCACAGATATATTTAAGAAAAAAAGCCAAAGGTGATAACAGTAAGTACTTTGCATGTGTTTTGTGTATTAGTGATACAGTGGATGAAGATGATGACTTGTACGACTTTGTGGAGGATGAGGAGAACGAAGGAGATGAGATCTATGAAGACTTGATGAGGACAGATGAACCGCCTGAAACTGTGAGTGGTTCCCATGTGACCTGTAACCTGCAACAAAAAGGAGGGTGTTAGCCTTCATTTGCAACCTGCAAACTTTGCAGGTCTTCCAACAAAGTACTTCTGCACTAAAATCTGGGTTTCACTGTGTTTCTTATCACCTCATGTGAAGTTATGACTCGGGAGGCAGAGTAGTCCGCATATCAAAGACTCTTAATCAGATTAGAGTTTTACTTGCAGATGTTTAATGTATACAGCTTCACCCGAAGCATGTTATTTTAAATTTTTTGAAACCTTTTAGTCTGAATTATTCAGTAAGAAAAGAGCAAGAAGGACAGTTTGAAATATTAAGTACAATTTTGTGTAGCAGGAATAATAATTTTTCTTCGTCTTTCCAATCTTATTAATGTTCTTAAGACCTCCTTTGATTTTTGAAAGTCTTTGTGGGTCAAGGAACCACAGTGCCTCAGAGCCTATGTGCCAACGTTTTCTGTTTGACTTTGATAGGGGTTGATTAAACTTCTCTGTTAATGTTTAAATAACTACTGCCACTTTAACACCAAAGCAAAAAAACCCTCATTTGACATTTTTTTTGTGCCCTTTAGCAGCAGAAAACTGGTGTGGACAAGAGAGAGTGCTGCCTGCAGGAGATCAGACAGACGGAAGAGAAATACTCAGAAACACTGCAATCTATACTACAGGTGTGCACACACCCACAGTCTGATCAAAGAAGATCGGTGCATTCAAATACCAATAAAAAAAACGACTCATAATGATGATGACAGAGCCCATCTTAAAAAACATAAAGGAGCTGGGGGAGCGGGTTGTGTTCAGGGGAGAAAGAATGTGAATTTCTGAGATCTTTTAAATTTAACACAAAAATGTTTTAATATTTCTGAAATTCAAAGCTCACACATTAAAAAAAGAAATCTGAATTTCTGTGAAATAAAAATCACAAATTTGCAAAAAAACATTTTTCCGTAAGTAACGACATCACTTTTTATACACCTGTTCCACACCTCTTTCAATTCTTCATCATACATCACAAGCACACAAGTATAGAGAACTCATGCACAAAAAAAATTAAAAATAACACTCATACTCGCTCTTCTGTGCAGCACTTTATGAAGCCTCTTCAAAGGTTTCTCCAGCCACACGACATTGAAAGTATCTTCATCAACGTACAGGTAAAGAAGGTGTTTACCTCTACACCTGCATGATATACCCACCTCATGGAAAACCTTTGTTTACATAGTGTGTGTGTGTGTGTGTGTGTGTGTGTGTGGGTGGGTGGGTGTGTAGGATTTGAATAAGACCCATTCTGAATTGCTAGAAGAAGTTCAGAACTCTATCCTAAATAATGGAGCCAGGAATCTGTTCCAGGTGTTTCTGAACTACAAGGAGAGGTATATCGCTCATGCAGAGACACACACACAGATCCACTTGTTTCTCTTACAAACAAATGTATGAAAAATATGTTTATGTATCCCATCTCTCGCCAGGCTGTTACTGTACGGTCGTTACTGCAGTCAGGTGGAGGCGGCAACAAAACACCTTGACAAGCTTTCAAATGCGAGGGAGGATATCAGGATGAAACTGGAGGCGAGGAGGAAACACACGCTCCATTTTAGACATATTTAAATGACTTCATGCAAATTTATTTGATCAACATTTCTTGTTGTTTAATACTAGTTCTCTCTGTCTGTCTGTCTCTCAGGAGTGTTCAAAGAGAGCGAACAGTGGACGTTTTTCTCTACGAGATTTACTCATGGTCCCCATGCAGAGAGTCCTCAAATACCACCTGCTATTACAGGCATGTGTTTATACTTCATACGTGGTACTTACTGTATCTTCAGTTTCCAGTTGGTTTTATCCAGCAGCTTTAATTTGCCGTGGCTTGCTTGTGTCTGCAGGAGCTGGTAAAACACACCACTGACTCAACAGAGAAGGAGAACCTGCGAACAGCTCTAGATGCCATGAGAGTAAGTGTGTGTATTTGTGTATCTCTACTTGTATGTAACCTGAATGTATGATACTTAATCCTCGTGCATGCATGTGTGTGTGTTTCCAGGATCTGGCGCAGAGTGTTAATGAGGTGAAACGAGACAATGAGATCATCAAGCAAATCACCACATTTCAGCTTTCCATAGAAAACATGGTGCGGTTACACTATTTCATTTTTAATGAGTCTCTCTTTGGTTGTTGTTTGTATTTCCTTTCTGCTCATCCTCCTTCTCGTCCGCCTTCTTCAGACTCAGTCTCTAGCTCTCTACGGTCGTCCCAAAATCGATGGAGAGCTAAAGATCTGCAGCTCAGAGAAAAGATCGAAACAGGACAGGTGCGTGTGTGGCTGACGCACGTCTCATCTGATATGTTACAAGCTGTTGTTTGACGTTGCGTTTGTGTGCGCTCTGCTGTTTGTCAGGTACGCGTTCCTCTTTGATAAAGCCGTGTTTATTTGTAAGAAAAAGAGTGGAGAAACTTTCGAGCTGAAAGAGATCATTGAACTACACAGCTACCAGATACGAGATGAAACCACAGGAGAGAAGGACAATAAAAAGGTCTCCAAATCTGCACTGAGACACCTGTTACACACAAAACAAGATCGCCATAAGGCATCTCAATAGGACTGACTGTGTGTGTGTGTTTTTGTATGTGAACAGTGGTCCTATTTGTTCCTCTTGCTGGATTGCTACGGAAGGTCTGGCTATGATTTATTCTTCAAAACCAGAGAACTGAAGAAAAAATGGCTGGAACAGTTTGAGATGGCTCTGTGAGTATTAAATGTGGACGTACAGCTGAGCACTAAAAACAGCAATCAGAGAACTATGAAGAATATTTAGCAGCTAAAGTTCCAGAAACTATACTCAGACTTATAGACTAAAAAAAAACAGTGAGCTCTTTCAAAAAACCTCAATATGTCAGCAAACCAGAGCTGGGATAAGTTACTGCAGGTTTTAGGTTGTTAATGTTTTTTTCCTCCCAAATATTTAATTTGTGTAATGACGGACTTTAGTCTTGTCAAACATACAAATTAAGAAGCGGATCTGAAAAAGGTTGGACATGGAAACGTTTAGTTTTATGGATTTCTGTGGTTGATTTAACGCATCAACCTGCTATTTGTTACATTATTTGCAGTCTCACTGCACTGGCTTTGACTGCTTTTTCATCGCCAGTCTCTCTAAACGGATACGTTATGATTTGTACTTTTACCAGAGTGAAAGTACCAAAGTATCTGTCACTGAAAAGCAGCTGTTTGAATGCTTACTTCCCCCCAGCTGAGGTCAAAACAGTTTCGCTTTATGCTTACAGGTCAAATATGAGTCCTGAGAACTCCACAGCAAATAACCATGACTTCCAGATGTACTGCTTTGAGGAAACCACCTCCTGCAAAGCTTGCTCAATGTTGTTAAGGTACTTCTGTTATTCTATTATTCCTCCAACTAGTTAACAAGTTAGCTCCTGTGGAACTGTATTAACAAGTTAACAAAAAAGAGAAAAAAAATCTCCTCTAAAGGTAAAATTTCTCAATGTGTCTGCAGGGGAATATTTTTTCAGGGCTATCGCTGCACTCGCTGTAAGATGGCAGCACATAAAGAGTGTTTAGGCAGAGTACCCGCCTGTGGACGAAACTCAGGTCTGTATACATGCACAAATGCATATGTATGTGTTTAAACACCGCTTTGAATTAGTCTAATAATCAATTCTGCTTTTAAAATTACAGATCATTCTGTTTCTGCAAAGAAGGTATGTCTACATATATTTCATGCTGTAAACTTCCAGCTCAGCTGGTGGATAAAGCCTCTTTGGGCTTTTTATTCCCACTATTGTCCGTGCCAGTTTTAATGGATGGATGTTCTTTGGGACTTGCGCAAAACTTTGCTTCACCGTTTCTTTCTTTTGTTCCTGCAGAATAAAGCTCAAAGGTCCTCTGGTCATTCCAGCATTGGTAAGCAATTCATGATATATCAGCTTATATAGCCTACTTCTATGTTGAAAGCATACAGCACAAGACTTTCAGGTTCTGAGGTTATGCTTTTGTTCAACACTCAAATATAAAGCTGTAGCGATGTGTCTTCCCTAGTTATAACCTACATACAATTCATATATCTTGTGAGTTGTGTTATCATAAAAGTGCTTTCTTTGTTTGTAAATCTATATATAGTGACCATTTTTAAAAGCCTCTCTGCCATCAGCTTTAATCTCTCTGTGATCTTCTCTGATAAAGACCCATACCCTATTATGTCGGACAGCTAGAACTTCAGCAGGGCAATTATCATTTTCTTCTCTATTAGTAGCAGAGTTCACCATAAATAATTCAGATAGTTATATATCACATTATCAGCAAGTATTCCCAGTCTGCTTTTCCTGCCTGTATTGTTGTATTTTATTGTGATGTGTTTAAGGGTAATCTATTTTCTATAAGACACTAAGTGCAAAGTGACATAGGTGCTTGGCAACCATGCTTACATTAAGGAATATAAACAGCGCAGAAAACAGTTGAGTCCTCTACTGCAGGGAGGTGAGTGGCAAACAAATTGCAGTCATTGGGGCAGACTGACTAAAATAGATCGCAGCGTGTTAACAATCTGTAACAAATCTGTCTGACTGATTGCAGTCAGTATAAGTTTGACTGTGACTTTTTTGAGAGCCATCAGGTGGCTGGTTAATTCAGTTAAGGTTGAGAGTGTTGCACACTTAATCTCTGGTCACCCCAACTGCTTGCGGCTGTTGACCGAGCAACCTGATTTTTTCCTTGTCAAAAGAAGGTATTTTTTACAGTAGTGTGTCTGTGTGCACGGGGTCTTATTGTTTACATCTGCACTGATTTATATTAGAGGGTATGGCTGTCTCTGTTCTTACATGGAGTGGAAAGCATAAAGCAGGAAGAACAGCAACAAAAGCTCAGCACAGAACAGAGTAGAGATCGTCAGACACAGAATGAAAAAGAGTGGGGTGGAGGTGGGTTGCAGAGTGGCTTGCTGCAGCTGCAGGATTAAATAACCCCACTTTATGAGGTTTGCTTGCTGAGTCATCTGTTGTTGTGAGCTGGCATAGAGATCAGCTGGTCTTCTGGAAATGCGACGGAATTAAACTTTGCAGCCTGTCTGATTCATTTTCTTTGACGGTGATAATCTTATCGCTAGATGCACGTTTTAATACCTTATCCATTTTCAGCATACGCTCTAATCTTTTTGCCTCTTGACCAAAAGAAGATTATTTCCCTTACTAAGAAGGCATAAGCATGGCAGATAGCTCCACCTTTTTGATTCTGAAGTTTTTTTCTTTCTGACGCAACCTCAAAGAGATTTATGTTTGTAATGCGATGTCTCAACTTTAGGAATTTACGAAAGCACACGGAGTGACCAACGGATTTTTAGGTTTCATTTTATGTAATATTTCAAAAGTCATGACTGAACTGTGACTCACTGGTTGTAATGACTGGAATAAAAGCAACACTCTTGGTAATATTTTCATTCTTACTCTTTTTGTTTTGTCAATCAGAGTCCTGAGGTCAATATCTTGGTTTATCTCCCTCCAGTTCTGCCCAGAAACATCACAGCAAGTGATTTAGCTTCACCTGTCAAACATATCAGTGTACTATACCCCAACCCGATTTATTCAAGTTGCATAACAGGGCCGGTAAATAAATGAGGATGGTTCGTTTACGTCTGAATGAAAGTGCTTTCCCCTCATTTCCTTCGTTTTTTTATTCTTACCGATTGAGCTGTGTGAGATGTTCTCACAGTCTTCTTTTCTGAGCTCTCTTTTAAGGTAGAAAATATCAGAACGACAACCATTAACTAGTTTGTGGACTATTTTCACCCAATTTATGCATGTTAATGCGAACCCCACTCGTGTGTGGTTAATGGTAGCCCAGTTTTACTTTATCTAAACGGAGCATCATGGTAGGCGGGGATAGGGGATGTTTTTGGTAAACTTTGTCTATCTGAAATTAAAAGTTTTTAAAAATATGCAGAGAATAGTTTGATCCAGTTTGATTCGTTTTTCCAGGAGTACTAGCCTTATGTTGCAGCTCTTCCAAATATCACAACCTCTCCTTTTTCCTCTTTCTACTGTCAGGACATCCTAAGATGGAGGTAAATCAGGAGTACTATGGCATGCCGCCGCCTCCTGTGGGGTTCGGCCAAGCGCTTCATCTCTCCAGAGGGGACGTCATTGAGCTGACGCGCGGAGACGCAGAGCTTCCCTGGTGGGAGGTAGGCCTAAAAACATAGCCATATGCATGCACTCCATTCTGCATTCAATAAACTGAAGAAGGGGGGGTGGGGGGGGTCATGCATTATTTTTTAGACTTTTCAAGGCTCGTTTCCTGTGGTTACCGTGTAGGTGTGAGAGGCTTTTGTCTTTTTTCAGTCTCTTTTGACATTTTCCTCTCTGCGTCTCAGTCTTCCACTTCCTCCCTCGTGCCAAACCTGCACTTGTATCTGCATGCAGTCGCGATGCTGTGTGACAGTTTTGATTTGGAAAATAAGCGTAATCTGACGGCAGAAATCCACAGAGCCGCTCAGGTTTCGCGGCCGTGCTTTTTGTTCCCGCTGGCTCACTGTGGCACAGTTTACTGAAAGTTTCATTCATGAGAAAGAAAGCATGCGCTGAGAAGAGTGAAAAACCTTGATGCGTTTGAACCGTCTCACTGTCAGCGCTGCATAAATGGGCTCAACACAGTGTCTGTGATTTTATCCATCACCACCTTAAAACATGTCATAGTGAAATCGTTTTTAACATTTTGTTAATAGTTACCCAAAAAAAATTGATTCACAAATCAGGTGTCAGCCAGCTCTTTCATGCTTCACAGTACTTCCTCATTAAACCTCTGCTTACAGATTTTTGATGTGTGACTTACCTCAGATTGCTATCTTTTGTATATGAGTAAATATTTTTACAATTGGGGTCGATTGCTTGATTTACCCTTCAGTGACTGATCGGTTGACTGAAAATGTTATTTTTTGTTATGTGACATAGGGAAGAAATCTAACCAGTGGTCTAATGGGATGGTTCCCTTACCAAAAGGTTCAGCCCTACCTCACTGTGAGTACAATCCAGCAGCCAGTAAGCACCCTACCTTTTCCATTTTGAAAACAAAACAACATTTTCAAATAGATTTAATTTCCCAGAAAGGCATAAGCTCAGAACAGCAAACAAATAACTGACTAAATTTAGCACAGCCAAGTGGTTTTTGTCAGCTTGCATATTCCTGTAAAGAAAACAAACATTAAGCAGAATTAGGAAATGAAAAATTGTTATCAGCCTTTTTATATGTGACTTCTCTGTGATCTCACTACTTTCCAGAGGCCACCCCCAGACCTATCTGGCTTCAACTGGTGAGTATCGACAGGAACGGGGCAGAATTGCTCGCTCGCCGAGCTTCTGCTTACCTTGGTTAACCATGGTCTGATTTTTTTTACAGTGCTGCAGTGTTTGCAAAACTCAGTGGGAAACACCACAGAGCCGACACATAGAGTAGTAGTAGTTAACAGATGCAAAAGCAGAACCCGATACTGAAAATTACAGGCGTTTTAATAGCAGCGTTTGGAGCACACTGTAACGCTCAAACTGATGGGATGTACCATACACTGTGGTGATATGCGATTCGCCCCCAGGCTCGTGTTGATGACGATGACGACGGCATTCTGAGCCCTCAAAGTAGTGATTAAAAACAGCTTTTTAATCACACCATTGCCCTCCTGAAGGACAGCGTGTTAGAAAATGTGTCAGTTTGGCGACACCTGGTGGTAATGAAAAGTATGACACTGTAAACAGGAAAGTGGACACGACCGATCATGTACAGTCAGACAACATAATTTTTCTTCCATTATCAAAATAATTGATCAGAGTTTGTAGAGAAAAACATCAACTTAAAGCTCTTTTGAAAGTATTTTTCAGAATTATGTATGCTTGTGCAGGGAAATGCAACCGATACATTTAATTTGATAGCTTTTTAAGATGTGGTTAAGGTATAAACTGATGGGCTTTCAACTAAGGCATACATACCTACCATTTTTCTTTATACAGTCTTTCTGGTAAAAACCCCTAAAGGCAAAACTTCTTCCACTAGCTGTCAGCGAAGAGCGAAGCCAGAGGTGTTTTGTTTTAGGGCTATCCACTTTAATGAGATATCTCACAAATGCCTTCAGGGGATTTCTTCAAATTTGGCTTAAAGCTTGCCATACTGACCATTTTTCACATTTGTCTGGATCCTAAATTTTTAACACTTTGGTGCTGTTTGTGAAATGATTGTTTCTTTGTAATGACACTCATATTTGAATCATTGTCTGCTCTCACGTCTATAACTGTCAAAGAAGGCCAAGTAATGCTGTAGTGACAGAACAGCCAAATGTATTTAAATGACAAAGTGTGTGTTTGATCGCTGTGTAACTTGATTGGTCTTGTGACTGTTGTCAAAAAATAACTGTGTGAATTCATGTTTCAGAGGCTACAGTATTCACTCAAAATAAAAACTAACGCTCTTGTTCTCTCTGTGTGATTGAAGGTTTGCGGGAAACATGGACCGCACTGCCGCCAAAAACCTATTAATGTCCCGCTCTGATGGTACCTTCCTCGTGCGGCAGAAAGATGGAGGAGAGTATGCTATCAGCATTAAGTAAGACATATATCAGTTAAAGTACTGTTTGATTATCTATCTGTTGATTTGAAGATGGCCATATTACAAGCAATTTTTTAAAATATTCTATTATTGGTCCGATTGCATTTCAAACCTTAATTGTTGAAGGATAAGCTGCATATCTGCCCTAAAACAATAAGAAAGAGCACTGGTTTTTTTGCACACACTGGAGAGATTATATATTTCGACTGGCCTGGGAACACCTTGGTGTTCCCCCGGACAAGCTGGAGGAGGTGGCTGGGGAGAGGGAGGTCTGGGCTGCTCTGCTTGGGCTGCTGCCCCCGCAACCTGGCCCTCAGATAAGCGGAAGAAAATGGATGGATGGACATTTTTTTGCACCAAAGGAGCATTTAATTTAATAAAATTGTACAAAACTTCATCAGGAAATATACTGCATTGTCATCCTCTTGTAAAATAAACCTCCTCTTTAAAAAGTTCCTCATCCAAAAAACGGTTTGGAAATTTGGAGCTGTTTTACCAAACACGTGTAATGCGTAAATGTGCAGTAAATGAAGTATCACTTCCTCTCAAAACCAAGGGAAACAATCCAGACTGACAAAGCATCAAATGCATGATCTGTTTTTAATTCATGAGCCAACAAAATCCATTCATCTTTGCAGAAGTGAAAAATTCTCGATTCTGTCGTTGGAGAGCCATCGCTGTGTTTGCCGTTCAGCCTCCACGTGGACTGAGTTCCCAGACTGTGGCTTTTAATATTCACCTCTCTCCTCCCTCAGGTTCAACATGGACATCAGACACATTAAGATCACCTCTAGTGAAGGCCTCTACCGCATCAACGAGAAGAAGGCCTTCAAGGAGCTAGTAGTAAGTCATACACAGTCATAAAGCTGAAGCACTGCCTCAGAGCAAGAGAAACCAAACCTACCGCTGAACATTATCTTTAGTGCTGGATTGCTGCTGACCTCAGCTCCTCCTCTCTAACCACAACTAACATCTCTCTTATGCTTCTCACACTTCTTTTCTCCTCCTGCCCCCCTCCCATATTAGGAGATGATTCAACATTACCAGCAGACCTCATTGAAGGAGTACTTTAAGGACCTGGACACCACACTTTGTATACCTTTCAAACAACCGGAGCAAAGCAACCTGTCTGACAACATGCCCAATTTAACACCAGGTACAGAAGATCTCCATCACCTCCTACAGTCCTCACTGTGATCACCAAAGTCGTCCTCTGTGACTTGCAAATGTCTGTGCAAAATGACAGAGCAACCCACCTCCTAGTTGTGGAAGTGCAGATCACTACAGATCATGGAGCTCTTATATTCATTTTTATCATGTTTCTTTATTTTGTACAAAAGCAAGAGTCTAGAAATGACTTTATGATAGCCGCATGTGTGTTTTTTTTGCCATCTCCAGTCTTTATTGTAAGTTAAAATCTGCTTTAACTCTGTTTAACATGAGTGGTGATGATAACGCTCATGAAAACTCCTCTGCGAGGAATGGGGTAAGACTGTTTCCCCAAAACTATTCCTTTAAGCTGTTCCATGCTGCAATGTGGGCTCTGTCTCACAGGGGGCAGCATGAGGAGCTTTGGCGTCGCAAGGGCCAGGTACGACTTCTCGGCCAGGGACCGCTCCGAGCTCTCGCTGCGGGAAGGAGACACCATCAAGATCCTTTCCAAGAAGGGTCACAGTGGCTGGTGGAAAGGAGAGGTGTATGGCCGGGTGAGAGCACGGAAAAAATGTAAAAAATATTTTTTTATTTATTTGCTGTTTTCTTGTCTGACCTGCACTGCTCCTGTGTTTCCAGGTGGGGTTCTTTCCAGCCAACTATGTGGAGGAGGATTACTCTGACTACTGCTGATGTTCCTATGGATGTGATATGTAGACTCGTTCTCTATGTGTAGGGGTCTGTGTGAGGGACTGCATTAACCAACATGCAGGAGTGTGGCTGTGTGTATGAACGAGAATGCCAGTAGCTACTTGTGATTATGTGATGAGTGTCTAGTGATGTGAATAAAATCTCTGTTCAGCCAGCTTGATGATGTCTGGTTCATGTATGGATTTTAACCATATCATTATATCTACTCGAAATTTACAGTTTACAACACCACCTCTGTGTTGTTTTTATGCTCACGTTTAAGTGTTTGTGTGATCTCATGTGAAATTAAATTAAAAACTGAAAAAAGGGTGTTTAATGTACATTGTGTATGCAGCGGATTTCCGATTAACAAAGCAGCAAATGTGACTTCATGTGGTGCAATTTGACAATTCAGTTCAGCTCAATTTTATTTATAAAGTTCCAACATTTGCCTCGAGGCGCTGTATAATCCAAGGCAATAATAATAGAGAGAAAAACACCTATGAACAGATACTTAGTGACACTGAGAAGGTAAAACTCATTTTTAACAGGAAGACACCTCCAGCAGAACCAGGCTCAGAGAGCAACAACAACAAATAAAACGGTTTTAAAAAGAGCCCGTGAACAAGACAGTTTTCTTTATTTGGACTGCAGTCTGCAACCTGTAAGAAACCAGGAGACCAAGAACATCAGTAGACCACCGAACACAGACAAACATAGTGGGAGGTTGGGGGTTGCGAAGTAGGTGTTTAGTGGTTAAAAGGTTTAGCCAGTGTGGAGGACTGACACTAAAACCACTACAAGAGAAACTAGTACATGATGATTTGTTTCTGCCATTGTAGGGAAAAGGTAAAGAGCAGTATGTTTGAAGAAGTGCCCTTACTCTTTCTTTACAGTGCATGCATGTAACTAACTGCTGTGTTATTATAAATTATTATTAGTAGTATTAGTAGTAATAGTATTACAACAGAGTATCTTAGGCTTGGTTTGCTGTATATAGTGTGTATTGTTAGAAAGTAATGTATAAAGATTTAGAATATTGTGTCACGTTTGACCTCTGACCTCTCCCTCAAGTTCAATAGATACATGTGAAGGTCAAAGTGATAATAATACTATGAAGAGCTATTGTAAACCTTCTTACTGCTATTGTTTGTATTGACAGCATATGGAGAATGATAAATGGGGATTCTAATTATCACATTACTTTGGACGTTACTTTGATCTCTTCTTCAATGTCAAATAAGGTAAAACTTGCCTTTTATTTTAAAAAATAATTCAAATTCGTGTATTGGCAACAATTTGGAAATGATACTAGTATATAGGATTCTAATTAACACATTTGACCTCTTCCCAAAGGGGGGGGGGGGGGGGCAGCGCTAAAACTCCCTGTACACTATATGTTTAACCTCGATATGTTAAACCATTCTTTACCTCATTACTCTGGTACTGGACCACATTTCAGAGGAAATCACAAGACCTTTGTGCATCTAACATGTACTTTTATTTTAGAAACCTTTCTGTAGTGTACTGATCAGATAAGACAGCTATAGTACAAAAACCACCTGCTTGTATTCACTGCATCAGCGTGAATTCATAAAAGGTCTATTTTGTAAACTATTTTTGCAGTTCTACATGTCAGGAAGCCCGTGGCATTGATACTTTGACCTTTGTTGCAGCTAAATAAATGCTGCTACTACAGAGAAGTGCCATGGCCTGCAATTCTGTTTTAGATTTTAGATTTAGCATTACAATACAGATGTGGGCACAAAACCAGGCCCATAATCAAACATTTTCCTAGTTTGGTGTGTATGAACATGTCTGCACTGAACAAAGCCATCCAACGTGTTTGAAGTGGAAGCAGCACTTTTGGCAAAGTGAGAGCGAAGTCCTGCTGCCACGGAGACCTAAATCGCTTACTTATAGACTCTTCTTGGACATGGATAATATTGTCTGTCCCAACACTTCAGAGCTTTAGCCAACAGTCATTCTAGGTTAACTGACATTTCTGGCAGTTGATGTAAACGTTTTACTAAAACTGCATCAAAGAAAGAAAAGAATGAGAGGACAGTCGTGGCACAGCTGTGGAAAGACAAACAACAACTGCTGAACAGAATCATTAAACTTTGTTTCATACAAATTCCCCCTGGTTGCTAACCCCAGCTCACAGTCTGAGAACTGCTGCCAAAGCTTATTAATCAGTCAGTATCACTTTTTTTAGTCCAAGGACTTTTTTTGTTGAAAACAGCATGTGTGTAAACCTAGCTTCTGCAATGCGTATGTGCGATAAACTCATTAGCTATACTGGTCTTATGTATGAAGTAAAGCTACGTCTAATTTAAAGTTTGTGGAGGAGTTGGAGCAGAAGGCCCCTAGAAAACCTGATGGTCTCCATTTGCCTCCACTGAAATTATTCATATACATCCCCACGTGAATGGTGTTGGATGCACAGCCATAGGCAAATATCATTGCCAAGATCCAAAGATAGGTTTTAGGTCCCATTGGCACCAATTAATCCCTTCTACTTTCTACCACCAACATCAAAAGCAACTAACTCCATGTTTTTTTTACATGCTTTTGCCCAACACTTTACCTTCATCCAGCAAGCTGGAAAGCAAAGAGTAATTTGGAAAGAGTTAGCGATACTTAAGGTTTCCCCAGTTCACCCAGTATGAGAAAATAATTAATGGACAACAAAGACCAGCACTCACTCTCACAGTCAGGTAAATATCAGTTTTATTTCCAAAATATCAAAAAGAAACAAACAAAAAAACCGTCAACGTCTCTTTCACAAAGTAATTTGAGAGGAAAAATTAAAACTCCATTGCTGCTGTGTGAGTGTCGCTCTCGCTCCATCATGTTGTGTGAGACCTTCAATTCCAGCGGCGTGTTTGTGTTTGTAGCAAGAAACATCTTTACATCTGTACATCTGACTCGTAGTTCGCCTCTTGCTTACTGGTAGTACAGCTCAAGGTTCATCCCATCGTGGATTTCATCTGGAGAGTTTTTGGTTAAGTACAACAAAAATAATTTTTGTCTTTATCTTGATCTTTAAATGTTTTTTTAACTGTTTTTTTCACTTTTTTGTTGCTTTTTTTTTGTTGTTGATTGTTGTTGGTGTAATAAGAAGTGCTGTTGTTCTGTGAGGGTGTAATAATGTCATGGTCATTATCATTATTAAATTAAAGGTAATGTAACTAAAACCACATAAGTATAACTACAGGAAAAAAAAAACCTTTAAAGGATACAGTCACCCAGAGACACATGGTCCTTGAATATGGTGTACCTGTGGAAAACAAAGGACAACATTTAGGTCCAAATAGATGAGTTATTTGTCATCGAGCACATCAAATCCCATTTGAGCAGCTCACCATTTCTTTAACACGATCTTATCATGCCGTGTTCCTGTCTGGGCAGCTATGAGCTTCTTCAGATCTCCGATGGTATCCTCAGAGCTGAAACACCGAAGTTAAGGAAGGGCAGTGTAACAGCTTGGAAAACATCCAGAGTGTTAACAAATGCGTGGTTAAAAAAATCTGAGCGTTGTCTGCTAGTATCATTTTGTTTCTTTTGATCTGCAGATGGACGGCGCAGCAGCTTTGGATGCTCTGCTTTCCTCAATCAAAACACACGCAGGATGGCTAAAGTGTTCTAGCTAAACTGGTCCAACTCTCTCTGTAGCCCCGTGACAGACTGCTCCCGAACCCATTATAGGCAAAAGACATCTAACACTTGACCAAACAAGATCCCTTCAAGCTGCGACACCTAGAAGTTACTGAAAATCATCAGACTTTTAGCTGATTGTCAAGTGGCGTTCATTCAAGTGGTATTATATCTGCTGTGAAGTGATGGCAAGTGGTGGCAAGCACCATTTTTAAGCATCATTTGATGATAATAAACATAAATAGCGTCACATATTAAAAGGTAAAAGAACCTGAAAAACCAAAATGTAAGATACTGACTTTTTGTTTTAAATAAAGTTCACTTACAAGCTGAAATCTCAAATATGACTATTATAATCACCCAGACTTGCAATTGTGGGATTCTGTATTAACGGAATGAAATAAGTCATAAGAAGTGCCAAGATAAACAGTGACACTGAATTTTAGTCTTATAACATACTCTAGAAACTCACATGTTAATAGATTCATTGTAAAACTATTCTCCACACCATTCTATAATATAAATTAGCTTTACTTGCGTCTTAAAAGTAAGTCCATAATTTCAGAGCAGGGGTGCGTTGAAAGCAGATGCAGATGAATGCTGTACTGTTAAATATCCTGACTTATGTTAACTCATCTCAAGACATCTCAGATGTCTGCACCTAAAACATTATTTTGACGTGTATGTTGAGCATCATTTTCAGAGTTTCAGCAAAGGATACTTGCACTTGACCCGGACTTTCTTGCCTAGACGGTCGTTGCAAACCACTTCGATCATCTTTACGTCTGCAGAAAAAAGGAAGAGATGAGACAACGTTAGACAAATGAAGGTATTAGATGATAAAGTAGATGATAACTATAGTGAGTTTGTTTTATAGAAGACGCGCTGGAAATCACAGGCACAGAAATCTACTGAAATCAGACAGGTTGTTTTGTTTAGCTAACGTTAGCTGTAGCTCACAACACCACGTTAATGTAAAACAAACGGGACTTATATTTAAATACACTCATGGGCAGCTTTATGTGTTCAAAATCCGAAACATTATGATACCGTATAAAAACCGCACGTTGAAGCTGTCATCCTTACCTTGAAACGTGCAGCAGAAAAAACAATTATTTCCTTTCCGCTGATATTTTCTGGAAACCTCTCGGTCCTGCTTACCGTAAAGCTGGTTTAGTTGCGAATTCGCCTTCCTACCAATCAAATGAGGACTACGATGATTGGCGATCTCGCTAGACCTATCACAGAACAAAAACCCTCACCAAAGGCGGACCTAATACTGAAAACAACTTTTACCATAAACGTCAGGCCAACTGTCGTAATCTGCCTAGCTGCAGCTTGGTTCGTCACACGGCTCCTAGATTGAAATCAAATTTGAAAACGCTGCTGCAGAAAGCAACATGGCAGACGAGGAGAACCTACCGCCCGGATGGGAGAAAAGAATGAGCCGCAGTTCAGGTGATAAAACACGAGCCAAAAGAAGCTAAGTGTCCTAAATAGTGAGCTAAAGTGCAGTGTATAGTGAACTTAGCTCAGTAGCTAGCAACCTCAGCATCGTGCATTAGTGCTGAAACGAGGTTGGAGTGACGTGTTTAATCATTGCAGTCTAAAAGCAGCGAGGGGTTAGTCGCTGCTGTCATTGTCTTTATTTAATTGTGGCGTTTTCTCAGCTGGTTTTAGGCATCTTAGCTTCATTATCGCGCCAAAGCTGATTCATTCAACCTGGCTGCGGCAGGGCCCTGCATGACGTCAGCCCGCCCCAGCGCCTCACCTGCAGACTGAACGAGTCCCAGCAGTAGGACGCTTTTCAGAATGCTAAACTTATGCGTCCTCTCTCCTCCCTCCTCACGTGACACAGGTTATCGTCATAGCTCTCGTGCTGTGGTGTTTTGTAAGGACCAGTAAATTCTAATACAGCACAGTTACACGGAGAAACACTGTAATATTTAATATACAGTTAACCTAAATGTTTTAGCATCCCTCAAAGAAGCAAATTACTTAAAAAAAAAGAAAGAAAAACAAAACAGTTACTGTGAGGTGAACATTGCTGGGGTTGTTGCTCAAAGTCTTAAACACTTTTATTTAATTTGTTTTTGTTTAATTTTGCATTTCCTAGTTACTCCCTGGAGAAAGTAATTTGTTAAACTACTCGTTATACTTTGCGCTACTCCACCGCAACATGACTGACAGCATGTTGTGATGCATTATAAGCCTTAGGCTACATCCCACACAGTGACACAAACCCCTATCATAACGGAGGCTGTAAGATTTTTTTTTTTTGTAGTGATAACACGTGGCAAAGTTGAAAACCAACTCAAGGAGCCTTCAGAACAACCACCACACTGATTCTACTGTTGAAACATGTACAGGTAGAAATGGAGGCTGAGCCTAATGGCTCATCACTTCCTTTATTACCTGCTGGGCTCTGGCTGCTGTCTAAGGGTCAGGATACACCGACTCTGGGTTCTTCACCGTGAAGATGTTTGTAAAAAGATGTTGCGTTAACAGTATAATGCAGCAGTTTCTGCTCTGGATGCAGTTTGCGCTTCGTGATCTCATCCTTTCATTCAATGAAATGGCAACATCGCCACTTCTCAAATGTTGTAAACTGCTCCCCCATTTTCCTCCTCCCTGCAAAAATCTGAACTCAGCTGACAGCAGCACAGGAAGAAAACTGCTGGTTTGGTTTTTTTCCTCTTTTCTTTCAATCTGCCCATTGCTGAGATAATTGAAGAACCTTTTCAATGCAAGTAGTGAAATGATGTAATGCAGTTGCTGAAATTAGTACAGTGATATGTTACAGAACTGCCTGTCTTGTTACCTTGTAGCCTGTTATATCAACGACTAATAACGATAAGTAAGGAAGTAACAATAACGCAAGTAAATAAATAAAAGGTAAATATTTGGAAGATATAAAATAAAATATACTAATATTTTGTTATTTATTTTTCTTAGCATATGTAAAGATGGCTTGAGAGATTTTTATTTTTATTTTTTTTAATTGGCCTGTTAGAGATTTGAATGACTTTCAGACTGTGAAGGAGAAGCTGCTTTAAGCTTTGAAATTGTTCTTAAGTGAGGGCTTGTGTGGGAGTCTGTGAGTTGGACAGGTGGCCCAGCTGTGCACCGTGACTCACTCTACACTGATGATAAAACCACAAAGTTCTCATTTAGCAACAGCAGCTCCTCCACCTCCTTCACATCTCTCTGAGATGGCTAGGAAGAGCCGTCTCCTAGTGACAGTGCTAGCAACTAGTTGCCAACTAGTACTGGACAACAAGCTAACTGCTTTATATGAAGATGGAGCCTGACCAAAGGAAGGAAGGAGGCATGCTTGAGTCATGGAAAGCACCCAGAGCATATAAAGCTCGGCAGAGCCACTTTAATGTCACCCCCGTGGTTTGTGGGCACCATCTTTGAAACTTGCAGTGTGGCAGTTGGGCTTTCACCATCTTGGTCTTATGAAACCACACATGAAAATGTTAGCACTGCAAAAGAGCCGATCAGTGAACATTAGCGGTAGCAGGGTTGTGTGTCAGAGCGTATACCATTTAGCAGTTTACCTGGAAGTCTTTATTTGCAAAGATAAAAACAGTCGAGTTTCATGATGTTGGGCTGCAGCTTTAAGGTCACTGTGACCCTTTCTACGTCCACTCCAACATGGTGGATATGTTTCTGTAGAGAAGCAGGCTGACACAATGTCAAGCAAAACTGCTGCTATATAAATATGAGGTGTGAAGGTCCAGGGCTGGTTAGAAGGGGATTGGCCTAATACATGAATCAATGGTCCATGAAAACAGTCTTAAAATAAGAATTACTTTTAAAACAGAAGAAACCGAATAGTTGACTCAGTGTTTGTTAAGTACAATCGAATCCTAAACTAGAGAAAGGTGCTTCTTTTAAAAGTGTACGGCCTCAGCAGCATTTTTTTTTCTTTTACACCTTTTTGCTGAAAGGCCGTGAAGTATTCAAAGGTGGTTCTTCTATGAAGACATCCTGCGATATTTATTTTCTCCTGTGCAGATGGCCTTTAATGTCTAATATAAAAGACTTCGCTCATAGTTGTAAACTCACACAATAAGTTTTTTTTAGTCAGTTTGGTTATTGTGGCTTTTTGATAGCATCTCTGATGCTCTTCTCTCATTACCTTTATTTACAGTCATGGCAGGAAGCAGTTTGGTTGTTTTTTGTTTTTTTTTTCTTTTTAGCAGCTCACTTCAGTGGCTTACACACATCATCAGTGATCAGCTGTCGAAGAAAGGTGGACATATAGCAGCTTAAATGATGGCTCTAACTCTCAGGTGTACTCCAGGATAACTTGTTTCGTTCAGCGTCGGCCATCCCTGTGTAAAACTCAAGTCTTTGACATTTTCGTGTGAAGTGAGGCCAGTTGCTGTAGCACAGTATCCTGTACTGGGTGAATGGGTAGCTGCAGAGTCTGTGTTGTGTTTACATGTGTTTAAAAAGATCTTAATAAAGCTTAATGAATTTACTGGTTCTCTGTCATTGCTTCAACAGGCAAAGTGTACTACTTCAACCACATCACTAATGCCAGCCAGTGGGAACGTCCAGTGGGAGACGGACGTGGCGAGCCAGATAAGGTTGTGTGTAATGTTTAGTAACTGCGGGGTTTTTTTTTTTTTGGTTTTTTTTTAATGCACATGATGAGTCAGGGCTACTTTCCCTAAAGAGGTACTGAAACACATTTTACACTGCATGTTCCAGCTAGGGTACTGTTAATGCCTGCAAATTATTTATGATTTGACAACTATTGTGAAAAATCAATTTGGCCAGGGCATAGCGTTCTCCAGGATAACATTTGAAATGTTCCTGTAAGACATCAGGGAGCTGCCTGCAATATGACACGTATGCATTTAAATAGTGATAGGAGGAACAGTGCAGAGAAATGGAAGTCAGTTATTAACAGTATTATATTTCACATGATTATTAATAAAGACTGATGGACAACTGTGTGCTTTTACTTAGCTAATGGTTATCGTCATTGCTGATCAGTGTGTATCTTATCTTATCACAATACTTAGTTATGAAGCAGACGGGGGAAACATCAATAGCACCACCTGGTGGACTGAAACAGTAATTTATTTTATTATTCTAGGACTAAGGAGTTTAGTTTTTTTTTTTCCTTTTACACTTGCAACTTATGTAATGTTGATTGGTGTTCTTGTATGTTCATGACATCTGGTGGAAGGTCAAAGGAAGAACCAGTCAAATGTAGTTGTAGGGCTGCATGACTTGCTGTAAAGTTGAAATTCTGCCATCCAAATAGTAAAGTGGTTCTGATACTCCAACATCTGGAGTGTTAACACACAAATACTGATATATTTGTATATGTATATATTTTTTAAAATTCAGGTACGCTGCTCTCATCTCTTGGTGAAGCATAATCAGTCGCGTCGTCCATCTTCCTGGAGGGAACAAAACATTACACGATCTAAAGATGAGGCCTTGGATTTGATTCAGAGTAAGTAAGGCAGCACGGAGAGGGAGAGGAGATTTTACAAAGTCTGCTGAATGCATTTAATATCTTCTGTCTTCTGTGCAGAGTACATAGAACAGATCAAGTCTGGACAGGAGAAGTTTGAGTCCCTGGCGTCTCAGTTTAGCGACTGCAGCTCCGCTAAGAACGGTGGAGATCTGGGACTGTTTGGTAGAGGTATGCACGGCATGATGTCATTCTCTGTTCAGTGCAGTCTCTCATTCAGCATCTCCTTCATCTGTCTTTCTGAATAAAACGAAATCCTGCACATAGCTCTCCATCAAGTGATCAAACATTCAGTGCAGGAATAACTGATAGTAGTGACAAGTTAAACCAGCAGTTTGTGAGCACAGTTTAATTCCGTATTTGTTACACATTTCAAACATCAATCAATTTTCAATATGAGACAAAGATAACCAGAGTAAATACAGAAGTTGCAGTTTTTACCCCTCAGCCGTAAAAAGCCGATGTGGTATTGTCGTCACGCCGCCTGACGCATGGGTGGCATGAATGCACAAGTTTGTGAATGCGATAACTCAAAGCAAAGTTCACACTATAGGTGTATCTCCTAAGAATCTTGGGCAAGTTCAAATTTCATTAACCTCGACCTAAATGTCAATATTAGAGGTGAAGTTTTCTGAAAAATCTTGTGAATGCGATAAAGAAGGAAGTCTCGATTTTCAAATTTATACCATAGGAGCATCAGCCACGAG